AAACCACCTCGACCGGATCAGAGTAAACAACAATGGCGAATCAGGCCGCCCCTAGCCTTGAAAGAATTCACAGGCGGCCACCAGCTTTAAAAAATGAAATAAATAAGGGGAGATCTGCTGCTTACTGCTCACGGAAACATCCGACCTATACTATAGTAAAGTCGTCCGCCTATCTTTCTGATCTCTCTTCCTTCTATTTATCATATTTTTGGCTTTGACCAATTCAAGGTGAAAAAAAATGGGGTTGGCTAAAGCTAAAAAAGGGGAAGAGAGGATAGCTTTGGGGTACGCTCACTTCTGCATTTTTTTTAGGTTATCGAGATTATAAATAGCTCTTTTTAGTGGGGAGGAATAGTGCGTGAATGGCGGTTCTCAGACGAGGGAATCGTTCCTCTCTAAAAAAAAAAAGATAGGCTAGAATGAATGCTTCTATCGATAGAGCTTTCACGTCTGCATATAGAATCGTTTTTTTGCCTTTCCATTCCGTTCTTACTATATCATGGGCTGTTGGGTTGGAATCCGTGTGATGGTTCGAGAGTAAAATATTCTTCGCATCCATCTTCGGCCTTGTGTTAGAAATGTCCCGCGGGACTTAGTTAGTGGTCGAGTCATTTTTGGTAATTGACACCCGTCGCATTAGTTTCAATTCATATGTTACCATTCATAGTGAAGTAGCCCTCTTTTTGATGTCTTAGTGCCTTATTCTATCTATCAAAGTCCTTCTTTGTCTATAGCTCGGGTCAGTCCCCCATGGTCTGCTTTGATTTTATCGAACAGTGCCGGCCCGCATCAGGGACTCTCGTGCGAGCCATACAACGTTCCCAGGCAGGAACTGCTCCTTTCCTTGAGCTCCCTATTTAGTTCCTCCCATCCCAGCCAGGCGTTGATCTCGCAACGGCCCTCCAGCATGTCCTCATATCGCGTCCGTCACCACAGCAGCGCATCCCCAGATAGATACTAGCCATTGTGACTTGGTCGTAAAAAGGGGCACAAACAGAAAGTACTATTCCATATCCAAAAAGTTAGTCTTCGATCCTTAGCATCTCGGGTGCCAACGAATGCCTTTGGTTTCGCTTGATTCGAACCATCTCCGTCGAGCCACTGCTTACGGCCTTATGTAGTATGGGGACCTCGCCCCTATTCTCTAAAGCTTGCCACCCCGTGGAAGGTCACACAAGAAGGCTATTCGACCGACAAAACTTAGGAATTAGTGCGTGCTGAAAAATTTACTTTTCTTTCTAAGTGAAGGGCAGGAGAAAGAATCTTGCATCTATCTCGAGTTGCTCCCTTGAGCGATCTATCCCTGGTTTTGTGACGTCGAGTTTGCTCTATTCTCTTAGCTCGGGCTCCTATCAAGCTTAGCTTCGCGCATGATAATGATAGCGGCATTCTTTTTTTTGTTTTGGGGAAGGAAGTCGCTCGCTAGTGCACTGCACCTCACCCAAGGTTAACGTCGCTAGGTCAATTCATGCTTCGACGCACTCCCGCCTCGTGTTTTCGACAGAGTGTTGTGCCATACTTCGAGAATGACACGGTTCGGAGGAACTCTAACTCATTTGGGTGAAAACTCCTTCTTCCAATCCCGTAGAGAGGCCCGGAAGAATAACAAGACGATTGACCAATTGAATCATCTTAAATTAAAGACATCATGCCCTAGACGCGAAGGTGAGTCAGAGAGCCGGGTGAATTCTGCGAAGATAGAAGAGCGGACTTATGAGGAGACTGGAAGCCTATAAATAATAGGAATGGCAAACTGGAACCTCATCCTTAAAAGGTTTGGTGTATATGTGTCCTATTCGTAACGACCCCGACCTTGCGTCATGGAAAGTGGCAAAAAGCCTAAGACTCTACGGGCTAGCCGGGCCTAAAGGAGCTTAGAAAATTCCACCTATGTAGTGGCTCGCATTCAACAACTAAGAGTCTTCCTTCTCATCTCCTTATTTTGAATTCCATGATTCTTCATTTCCCACCCTAGCCGCCCTTCCTTAACAAGATGGCTCGGAGCAAGCCAAGCAAAGTCTTACGTTATCTACTATCTTTTTTTTTAGCGCAGAAGGGGGGTAAGCACACAATGAAATAGGTGGAGAGTCACATTTCTTTATAAAGCCCAAAAGCCCGTTTAGCCCTTCGGACTAAGGCGTGACCATAGGATCTCACAGTGTCGGAATGAGTTGAAGACGAGATGTGGTGTCCAGTCGGATAGGGCGAGGCGAGAAGGGGAACAAGGATCAAAACAGGCATGGTGCTTAGGGCGGCCTCTTTAATTTCCTGACGTTGGGTTCATTCGCGAACGAGACAAGTTTAGCTAGGAGCCTCCTTATTGCCCAGCCCCCTTCTTAGTTGCCGAAGTATAGGCCCGCGTGAGATCAAAGTAACCTGCCGTCCGTTCGCTTTGTTTTGGTCTTGACGTGCTTTGAAAAACATAGATATATTATTTGCACTAGAACACTGACGATAGACCCACCGGGAACACATTAACTACTAGGCATTGACATCTTAA